ACGTTGTGCTTCCCCCCCCCCCCCCCCCGCCAAGGGTGCACGACACCAGAGGGAGCCGCCCACATGAGAACTCTCTATCAGCGCTAGCTGGTTGACAAGTATATTAGAAGAGGCGTCTGACTGTAGGGTTGAGCTGCACCCCGATCTGCGTTGAGATCCGGAATGCGCCAGCGACATCGTCCGGTTGGCTCCGTTCAGCACATGGCAGCGAGCCGATCTGGTGAGAAGCCGCAGGCGTTGGTCTGGCTAGTAATCCAGATCACACGAAGTCTCTGGCCCAATAGCATCCAACAACCTACCACTTCCTATTACAACCAGCTCCATATTCACCTACCAGACGGGACACGGAGCAGATTTGCACCACACCCTACTGCGCTAGATGGGTCCTGAAAGATAGTATAACAGCAGCTGTGGCTGAGTTTCAGGTCCTCCCGAAGCCTCAGCATCATGACCTCAGCCACAGGCGTGCGCAGCACATTTCATTAAGGAACACATCTAACATTTTTACCAATTAAGCCCTCTAGTTAAATATACATTTCTTTGTTTTAAAGTTTAGTACGTAACGAGACAGGATTTTGGTATTGTGTCTATGTTAATGAGATTAGAAATACTGAAGGCCCGGGCAATTTACAATGCTTTTTGCTTTTGCTCAATATAAAACATTGCTGTTTGTATACCTTTGAAGGTCTCTGTCAAAAGACTGATTGTGTGAATGAGGAATGTATCATCATAAAGATAATATGTGCAGGTCGTTGTTAAAGCCAGATGGTCAAGAAAGAAGGGAGAGAATGCGAGGTGAAGACAGACGTGTCGGCATCAGAAAAATCATCAGCGCGCATCATGATTAAGGAAGGGGCAAACTGACAGCTCTAAAAGTGAAGGCATCTCTAAAGACGACTGATTAACAATCCAGGACAGGATGACCTCTCGGAGGTGTTTTGGAATGTTAACATCGAAAGATAACATCGATTAAGGAGTAACTGGTCACAGACTGACCCAGCAGAATCCATAGACTTCAACGGGGAAAGAGGATTAGAAAAGCAGGGTGCTTGCCATGGGACTTTGGGTTCATCTTGCCACCATCTCCAGGCGCATCAGATCGTGACCAACAAAGCTCAGCTCCCCTCTGCGATCGATCTGGCTGGCCACTAGATTGATTCAGATTCTGGACTTGTAACTATACCATCGACTGGCGGGACCGTGTGCATGGTGTGGGTGTGTGTGAGTGACTGAAAAGCATATTCTAGCTGTTGTATTCTCGATAAAGGCGGCACGTTGCCTTATCCCCCTGAAAAAGATCCCGTGTGCTTCTTTTAAGCATAACAATTCCCCCTCCTCACATCCCCCTCATCCCTGCTTCTAGGAGGTGAGAGCCGCTTGGGGGAGCGTATCTCTGGGATCCCTACCCCACCCAACCACAGGCATTACAGAGCAGACAAGGAGCTGCCAACCGGCAGAAGTGTGTGAGGTCCCTGAGGCTCACAGTGGGGCTCCGCTCAGTTTCACAGATGGCCCCAGATACAGACAGGGCCGGGGATCCCAGCCGCCCACCGAGAGGAACGCTGCAGGAAGAGCTGGAAAATAACTAAGTAGAAATCCTTGGTTACACGCCTCACGTACATTTTTTTCGGTATCTGTACTTTACGTTTGTACTTTACTCGAGTAATTTATTTTTGTGATACTTGAACTCATACTCAATTAGTTTTTTTAGAAAATATTCTTATTCTTCTTATTCCACCACCATTGCCGGAAGTGCTTAGTTACTCACTGCTTTCAGCACCCCACTGACAGTTGCACAAGCCAGCATTCTGACTTGCTAAAGCATAGCCACATGTGCAAATCAATCAATTGTCATGCAATGAAAATTTTTTTAATAACCTATCAACAACTACAGTGACCCTGCCAACACCTTTTAATAGCCACAGAGACACCCTTTCATTCAAAAAACAGGGGAGGGGAGCCCTGAGCCTCCCAGGCTGGATCTGGCATGGGAGGGAGAAGAAACACGATGCCGTTCACCCTCCCCATTGGCTGGGGGAATGTGGTGCTGGAAACCGCTGGTGGGAGGATTTCCCCGCTGCTCCCATTGGCCAGATTTTGGCCAATGGGAACAGTGGGGAGCAGCGGGGTGTGTAAAGATAGGTAAGCACCTCCCCCTGGTTAGCTCCCATTCCCCCATCCCTCTCC